TGCAAGTGATATGAGGCATGCTTTTTTTTAACCTTACTGCCTCAGTTTTTGAGTTCTCACGTATTACCAGATTTACAATTAATCAATATACTGATTATTATTAAGATAAGCACAGGTTATTCAGTGGATAATTTAAACAAAACCCACTTTGTTTTACCTCATAGCTCTCCTCGTCACCAGCCACGCAACCCACTGTCTTGATGAAAGGGTGTCCAGGGTTGTCGACTCCTGTTTGGATGCACTGGTCAAGGGTCCAGTTGTTGGGGGTGACTTTGTCCCTCAATTTGGCATAAATGGCTGGAGTAAGAGCAGAGGCCATGCAGTTGTTGTGTTTCCTCAGGTCAGGGTAATCAGAGCTTCAAGAGGAGACGGATTGAAGAAATGTAAAAGTTTTGAGAGTTACTACACCCAGTTACTACACCCCTGAAATAATATTCCTTCTTACTCCAGCTAATGTTGACAACATAATTTTCCCTTCAACGTATTCAGTGCTGATCTAGCAGAATACCAGTTGGTTAATCTGGAGAAATCTCATTTGTAAGCAAATAGACAATTTGATGTGTACATTGTTGGTTTGGGGTTGGGGGAAAGATTTTCAGGTAATTTTTGTTCTTTTATTTTGCTAACTTAGGGGTTTTTATTTATTTATTTGTATAGCACCAAATCACAACAGCAGTCACCCCAAGACACTGTATATTATAAGGTAAAGGCCATACAATAATGGAGAAAAACCCTAACAATAAAATGACCCTATCTAAGCAAGCACTTGGCAACAGTAGAAAGGAGAATCTCCTTTTTAACAGGAAGAAACCCCCAGCAGAACCAGGTTCAGGGAGGGGCAGCCATTTGACAGAACAAAAGACATGCAATGAAAGAGAGCCAGAGGTTGATAATAGCTACTGGTGGCTCCCATTTGTCCTCAACTAGCTGCTAAACTTAGCTGCCATTTAGGGGGTAAGAGTACCTATAACTCTGGAATCAGAGAGTTCATCAATATCAGGAATCTAATATTGGACAAAGAGTATATGGAGTCAGTGGCTAAATTCTGAATCTTTATATTGTGTAAAACTATTAGGAACTTAAGGTGATTTTAGATTCTGATCCAGCATGCAGTGGCACTAAGTAGGCTTCAAATCATTCCAAATTTATCCTGGAGCCTAAATATGAGCACACTATCAGAAAAATCTATCTTCAGCCACCAGAGAAGCAAGTGTACTCTATGTATGCATAGGATGAGTGGGTAAAGGCAGTAAAAGGGGAGAGCATAAAATACAGTGTGAAAGAGTAAGTGAGAGTGAGCCAAAGGTAACCCAGATGAAATGTGAGAGCGTCACTGATCTTGCAAGACATCGCCAGCATATCTGACATGACATTGTGTACTCTTTGAAACTCTCAGATGTTTAGTTGGACTGTGTTGACACAATCCACACATGTTTATTAATGCTGCAGGCTCAGTGCATAAGATGAGATCAGAAAGCCCTTATTTATCCCAGAAGTTGGGAAATTGCTGTGCAACAATAACTTGTTATATAGAAAATACAAAACAGTATGCAGGGTACTTTTACTTTGAACACATGAATCAGTTCAAAAACAGTCTACTGATGTCACCTTCTGTGTATTTCTGTTATGGAAACATTTTGTAGTGAGTCACTCTTATGAAATGTGCAAGTGATGTGAGGCACGTAGTTGGTCTGTCTGTTTTTAAGGGAGATAATTGCAGTCTAATACCTACTCACTGACTGGTCAAGGTCATCTACTGCAGAAAGAACTTTTTGCTTCAATCCTCACATCTCTTATTGTCATCTGTTCCTATGATGTAACCTCATCATCACCTCACTTTTCACTGTCTTTCTTCTTGCTTAAGCATAGAGTGTATATGAAAGATGTACAAAGCCACTGTGACATCATTCTATTCAATTCAGTTTTATTTGTGTAGTACCAACTTATGCTTGAAGGCACTTTATATTGAACGGTAAACACCCTACAATATTTTAGTGTAAAGGCACAACAATATTAGAAAGTCAACCCCATGAGTAAACACTAGATGACAGTGTAAAGGAAAAACTTCATTTTAACAGGAAGAAGCCTCCAGCAGGCTCAAGGGGAAGTTGGGGGAAAGGGAAATAGAAGTGAGCAGGGAGAGACAGGACAAAAGGCGCGCTATGAAAGAGAGAGCCATTAACTATTAATGGTTAAATATAATAGTGGTGTATAGCATCACCAGAGAGTGAAAAGATGACGCAGCAGAACTAAGGATTGAGGTTCAGGGTCACTAAACCAGCAGTAATTATAAGCTTTATCAAAAAGAAAAGTTTTAAACTTAATTTTCAATTTAGTGGTATTGCGCAAATGGATGAAGATATCCCTGCATATGTTGTCAATGGAAGAACATATCCTGGTCAAAAATGACTCCAAGATTCCTCACACTGTTACTGGGGGCTAAGGTAATGCCACCTAGCATAAGATTCTGGTGAGAGGCCATGTTTTAATATTTTTAGGGTAGAGTAAAATAACCTTAGTTTTCTCTAAATTTAGAATGTCATTCAGGAACTTCATGTCTTTCAGACATGCCCATAGATTAACTAGTTGAATTGTATCATTTGCCACTTGGTATTTTGAAACCACACATCAGGGGTGTCCAACTCCAGGCCTCAAGGGCCGGTGTCCTAGAGGTTTTAGATGTGTCCTTGGTCCAACATAGCTGATTTATAGGGCTATATAAATGGCCTGTCTTAAGGTTCACCAGAGGCCTGGTAATGAACTAATCATTTGATTCAGGTGTGCTGACCTAGGGTGATATCTAAAACTGGCAGGACACCGGCCCTTGAGACCTGAAGTTGGACACCCCTGCCATACATAGCCAGTGAGGGGCAGATGTGACTGAGCGATGTGTAAATATACTGTAACAACCTGTCAATAACAAGGTAATGTAGGCTGAATCTTAGAGCACACCTGGTTTTATCCTCCTTTTTTAAATTGTTGTCATATTTTACAAAGTAAAGCTTTAGTTGCACTGAGATCATAAATTCTTCAAAAAATAAAAAACTATTAAGGTCATAGAACAAGGAAGCCAAATGGTAATGTTCTAACAGATTTCTAGCCAACCAAGTTCTTTTTACGACTGGTTACCCCTTGGTGGCATTAGTGGTGCTAATGTTGACCTGTCTTACCTGGGAGGGTAAAGCTTCTTCTTTGCCTCAGCAGCCAGAGAACTGTTTTCACTCAACAAGAATCCAGCTGTTCCTGCTCCCAAGCCGGCCAACAGCACAGCTGTATTGCGCTTGGAGATCAGGCGTGTGAAAGAGCTTGCCATTTTTCTGCTAGCTGGGTTTTCAGTAGCAAAAGGACTACATATAAAAACACAAAAGCAAGGTTTTGTTGATGACTTGTGAATGGTGCTAACATATACACGTATAGGCAAAGTGGAAATGGACACCTGATGTGTATCTAGTATCCTCATGTTGTGGTGTCCCTGGATCATCATAATAAATGTTGGTGTAAATTCAGCATTGCAAGTGACCAATCACATTGTCATGATGTTATAGTTTTGGGGTGTAGAATAAAACTGCGAAAAAAAATCCAAAAAAGGATCAGGTCAGGGTTAGGGCTGAGGATTGGGATGTGATTGTAGTGAGAGTTCTAAAGATTAAGGTAGGATAACCAGAACAATCTAGGCCTAACTTGCTCTTATCTAATGACCTTTCACCCATGAAAAGTTTTATTCAATATTATATCAAGCTTAGACCATGGGAGGCTCTGGCAAACACTCTTAGTGTTATTATCGCAGTCTGAATGGCAGGTTTCATATGACACAGAATGGCAGGTTTCATATGACCACTAATGCTTTGCTATTGAACAGTTAGAAGTCAGCCATAAGCTAACAAAAAATGCGACATTTATTCAAAATAATCATTCTTGTTAATTTTGTCGAAATGTCCCACAAAAGCAGTTCATTTAGTTTCATGGACCTGGCCTGGAAGGTAAAATTTTAGCTTATCCTCTGTGGATTGTGTCCATGAGAGTGTGTCTTTATATAGAGGGGAGCTGTGAGGTCATTGTTAGTCCTATTAATCAGAGTCAGACCTGAAATTAAAAGTCACTCAGTTAGTCACATGATTTTTATGAGCTCCGTTTGTCCCACTCTAAGGCTTTTCCTTTCTCTGTGTAGGTTAAAGGCAGTTCACTCTGTGGGTCAATGGGCATAGTATTTATAGATTGGTGGAAGGCGGTTGCACTGCCAGGATTCAGTGTCAAGATCCAAGCCATGCCTGGCTCAGACGGTGACATTCAGAACTGGTCATAAGACCAGAACCTCATAAGGCAGTGGGACAGACAGATGGAAACAAGGCAGATGGAAGGTGAAGTGTACAGGAGAGCTGATGTAGCAGGATGAAAAACAGGTGGAAAGAGAGTGCAAGAGTTCTTTCTAGAGATCAGCCTATGAGAAACCACCTCTACTAACCAACACTGAAAATTATGAGATCTTACAAATGCTCTAAGATCACTGTCCCCTCCACTGGTTGCTGTGACCTTTTAACTGGAAACTTTTCATGTAAAAAAAAAAAGCACCTACTCTCTGTTTGATTTTCTGCGTTTCTTCCTGTTGTTGTTTGCTTACATATCACCTTGAAATCATCATCAAATCCTGCTTCACCTTCCACCTGCTTTCCTTGTCCATAGCTTTTAAACTTCACATTAATTTTGAATGTCAAAAGCATGCAAATTTTTTGTATGCAGCCTGGATCTTTAATACCAGCTCTAGAACCAGCTCAATAATTTTCCCAAGTATTGGAAGCAAATGAAGGCTTTCTGTAGGAGAAATAAGAGAAAGGAGATACAGTACCTGTAGAAAAGCTGCTGCCTTCTTGCTCAGGGTCTCTTGTTAAACAGCTTTTCACTCTCCTCTTACACAAGGCTCCACCCCGTCATGTGGGATTAGAAGGTCGGAGCCAATCAAACGTTCAGAAAGAAATAATTATAAGCCAATGGACGTATAGTATGCTTCTGCTGAGCCATGATTAACCATGACCACCAAGGCTCCAATATCACTGTCCAGTTTGACCTTGATATTTGAAAATGATCTCTTGTTCCACTTCTGTGACCATGAGAGCTATGTACAGCAGCAGCCATGCCCTGAGTTAGAGGATTCAATATTTGCACATTACAAAAATCCCATGGATAAAATTTAGTGAGAAAATCCTATGTGGATAGGTAGTTAAACTAGACTCACTGTAGCCAATACCAAGAGAAACTAGATCTCCCAGTATAAACCTTAGAGTTTTGTACACAAGTACTGTCCTCCCAATGCACTGTCAGCTAATAAGCTGCATGGGTATGGTTAAACTTCAGTGCAGCTTGTTTTATTTGATTAAGATCCAGCAGATCCCAGAAGACTCTCTGTCCAGAAGACTTCAGTCTTTGGAACAGCAAAGATGCAGGAACCTCAAGGTCCCAGGAATCTGGTAGAGGAACCGAGCTTTAAGTAGGGGTAAAGACCCCCGCAAGGGCGAGAGGGAAATTAATTGAGAGAGAGAGAGAGTGTAATATTATGGCCGATGGCTCAACTCATACCCTGCTTATGCTTATGTAGGGCACACAATTTTGGCTGCTTTCCTTACAGTTGCTGCACAAATGCAACCCAATTTTCAACCCACTTTTTATTTGGTTTTCTGTTTTTGTGCCATGTTTTTTACTGACACTTTCCCACGCTGTCACTCTCAGTACTGACATCATTAATCTAATCCAATCGTTAAACCAACCCCTGTTTCGTATAGTTTAAATATGGGCTCTCAGTCATTCTCCCTTTCAGGCTCTCCTTCATACAACTTACCTGCTCCCCGTCTAAACCTCACAGACCCTCAGTCTTCATCTTCACCAGCAACCACCAGCATCTAGACTTTGGGGTGGGGGTGGGGGGGCTGTCCTAAATCCTATGACTGCTGAGATTCTGGTCTGCCATGATGGGTCATGAGTTTAATTATGAAATCCATTATTTTTCAATATCTCAGTAAATCATCCTCAATTCTTCCAAGTGATCTCTTCTCAGTGAACTTGCATTAGTCTGTGTGCATGTTTTATTTTGGCAACACTGTGTGTGTTCATTTTTTTCTTTTTGATGATTTTATGTGTCCTCTCTGCTTGATAAAACAACAATGTTTTACAGTTTGAACAGTTTATTTTTTTTATTTTATTTTTAAGCTTATAAATACATTAGCAAAACTGTAACTTCAAAGTATGCAGCAGTGTAAGAAAGCAGATTCCGGACCTTTGAAATGGCGAAAAATACGCCCCCAGACCCAATAACCCATCCCTACCACATCCCAAAGACATCAAACAAGCACAAAATTTTAAGTACAGGAGAAATCACACTATATTCATGTTATAATCAAAATTACAGTCTAATGAAAATCTTTGAATTAATAATAAATTAATAGTGCAAAGATCTTACTATTTCACTAATACACTCAATAGAGTTTGAAATATGAATATGAAAAATTGATCACATTGACGGGAACTATTAAGAATAGTGCCACATATTCTTGATATGTGGCAATATGCTTTTGTAGCATGAAAGAACCCCTTGAGTCCAACTCTCAAAAAGTGAAGCTCAAAAAGTTTTGTGTACAAAATCATAAACATTAAAAAACTCAAAAGACAGGATCTGATTGTAAAGAGAAAGAAAAATGTCTTAAAAACTGTAATGAGCATATTTCAAAATCTGCAATGTGTTTAAACTTTAAGGATTTTTGCTCTGACATGCGAGAGAATTTGTAAGAACATAAAGCTTTCATTTTTCCTTATTATCATAGCGTATGATTAAAAAAAGATAAAAAGCGAAGCGTTAGATAACGTCTCCTGTGAAACAGAAAGTATTAAAGTAGATAAAATATGTGACGTACTCCACACACACACACACACACACACACACACACACACACACACACACACACACACACACACACACTTTCTCAGTTACTCAATTATGCAATTACTTGATTACTTGCTACAGGGTCCCCAACAACCCCAAACTTACTGTGTAGCAACTAGTTTGTGTTCATTTGATTTGTGTTACAAGAAACTGATATGTTGTAAGGACAACTTTGAATAGGTAACAGAACTGTACCACTGTTTTATAGTCTGCTCACTAAATATACACTTCAGTAAGGCACATTTTCTCCTGAGTTTCCCAAGTGCAGTGATTGATGGCATTCTATGTAACAACCCCTGCTGTGTAATGAATGAATGAATGTGTTGCTCTGAGCTAGAAATTGTATATATATCAACTATATGTCTGTTTAGAAGATGCAGTTAGCCAGGTGGTAGTCGGGGTTCAATCTTGAGTGAGAGTTCATAAAGGGTATCTTCATCAATCACTAGGCTTTTATCCAGCAGGAACTGAGTCACCTGGAATGGAATGAGATAGGTTAAATTTAAAGATTTTGGATTTTTTTGAAGGTTAAGCAGTGAAAAATTATACACTTACTCTGATATTGATTGTTTGTTATTAAACACATTTTGCTGCTAAACTGGCTTCAGTATATTTTTTTAAGTATGTAAACAGCTCATATAAATCTGCTTAAAAAAATCATTAACAATAATTACACGTTACAAATATCTAATTAGACACACCTTTGGTTGGTGCTCTATCCTGTACGGTGTTTGCTGGAACTGACGGATCTCCCGGATGATATGAGAAATCTGAGATACCAAGGACAAAGTTACTGGAATGCTTCAGACATGATGTTTTTTTTCTAGAGAGTGTGTGTGTGTGTGTGTGTGTGTGAGGGGGGTGGGGGGTTGACTCGCTGTCCTGGTAAGAGACTTGTTAGTCTCTAACCAATAACCTGAAATTACTCCCTGCTACATGGTTGTATTTCGAAGGAAATATCTGAAACAAGCTCATTAAAAAAGATGCACAGAGTACAGGCCTTTTTGAGAGCCAGTACAATAGTATTGTTTAGGCCTCCAGCAGTAGTAAAGGTAGATATTCAGTGCAAGTATTAAATTATTTAAGCCAAAATTCTGGAAACCGTGACTTTAGGTATTGTAGTATCATATCACAAAGATGGACAAAAACAGGGGTTGTGTGCATAGATGTTCAATGTCTAAATAGATCATCATAATCAAGTCCTAGATGACCGTTAGGCAGTATTCAATACAGTATGGCATATGTGCCTCAAACGGATTTAAGCAGCTCAATAACTGACATCCAGATTCAAATTTTATGTTTTTTATGTATGTTTTTTTTTCCTGCTATATAGACCATTAAGGCACAGTGAATTGTGAGTTTTGTGCCAAATTCCAGTTTTAGGAAAGTGTAATCCTTACCATCCTCATCTTAGAGAAGTTAACAAGGCCCTCCTCTGTAAAGTTGGGTGTCCCCTCCTCAATGCAGGCCAGGTCAGTGAGGTACATGCCCAGGTAAGGGACACATGGAGGATTACAGCTGTGCAGACAAAGCAGAAATATACAGTGTTTATGAACTGATTTGAGACATTTTCCTCTGCTCACTGGCTATATTTACTTTTTCAATGTCTCTCTGAGGTTCTTGAACCGTCCCTCTGATGACACAATCTTCTGAAGTCTGTCCCTCAGTCCCTTTGTCTGAAAATAATGAAAAAAAAAGAGTAATTTTTTCAGTACACAGATGTGGTATTATTTTCAGCAGCTCTCTGAAAGGAGAATCAACCTGTTTGCAGACTTTTGCCCAGGTCTTTTTAAGCCTGTAGATGGCACTGCCTTCGAGTGCAGCAATGATCTCCAGTACTCCGTTGTAGTTATTGAGGCAGCGACAGATGTCAGCCACTGCCAGCCACTTCTCAATGGAGCTGGCTCTGGAGGCCACATCAGTATGGGTCATTATCTGAGACGCTACCAGGTTGCTCATCTGTGAAGCAAGGTATAGAGAGATGAGAGATGTTTCCAATAATCTGTCTGCCTTCAGTGATATGCCAAATTATGTCACTGATATTAGTGGGCAAAAGAATACACCACCAATCTAATGTGGATAATCATATATATTTAGTTTGATTGTGAAAGCTTTATTCTTTATAGACTGAAATTTTAGGAAAGACAGCTATTAAATGCAACTCGTCCTTTGATTCTTCAGCAGTGAGAATCCAGTATTTAAAATGTAGAAATATACTTTAATTAAAGGCACTGCTCTTACTTGTATTTTTCCATTTCCACTTTTTGATTACTGAATGTTTTTGTATTATTAAGTCTGTTAAATCCTCTTTTTCAGTTCTGTCTCCCTCTAGCTTACAGAGGGATGTCATGTGTACTGGACTCTAAGTAGTGGTCACTGGCCACTTTTTAAGAAACTGTGTGGCTTTTGCCCCTGACTGAACAAGAGAGACAACTGTTGTACCACAGACTTTTTATAAAACTCCCTATAAGCCCCACCACTACATCACTGCTCAGGATAAAAAGTCACCGTCTTACATCATTAAAGTGCTGGGTGGTCTTCATGATGTATGGAGTCCTTTCCGTTTTATCCAGCTTCATAAAGCCCTGACCTAGGAACTCCCTGCAGGACAGAAAATATCCAAAATCATAGGTTACACATACTGTATGTCCACATGTCATAATCTGTTCCCTACAGTCTCTGAGCTTTACTCCACCAAATCTATGGGAAGTTATCTTTGAGTCAAATACTATATTTCTTTAAGTGTAATTTTGTTTTATGCTTATCATATTAATCAAGGATATTGTTAGTTCAGGTAGACCATAAAATCAAACAGCCTGGATCCCAGCAGATCAGCTGATATCACTGGCAGCCTACATCAACTAGATGTAGGCTGCCAATGATATCAGCTATTCTGCTGGGATCCAGGCTTATAGTCCTCTACACATCTAATTTAAGGTGTTTTAGCAGGCCAATAAATCCTAGTTAAATTACTGTATAATTTGTTAACTTGCTAACTTACTATAAACTGGGCAGCTGTATTCTTAAGGCACGTTGAGATACCCAACTAGACTCAATATAGGCAAATACGCTGTACAAAGACATTTTAAAGAGATGATTCATTTCATTTCATTCATTCATTTATTTGTTGATCATATTAAATAACTCCAGGGTGATGCAAGGAGAGCTTGAATGTCTTGTATAACATACTTACTCATAAGGAATGCTCCTGAACACAATATGATCCAGCAAGGTGATCTGTTCTGCTAGTTCTATGGCTGAGAGTGACTCAAAACACTCTGATTTAGGACTCTCCGCCTTGAAAACACAGACAAACAAACTGCATGTGTAAAAAACAGTACTAAACTGCAAAGCTCTTCATGGGACTACAGTACCACACAAACACAAATTAAGTCCACATATAAGGAAACGACCTGTGGATATTTGAGGAGGGAGGTAACATAGTTCTCCTCAATACAGAGTAACCACAGCGGCTATTTTTCACAAGGCAAGGACATGACATTATTCTTACCACAATGAAGTGTAGAAGCGGGCAGCTCTTCTGTGTCATTCATGAGATAAAGAATTTCGACAAACAAGTTATAAACTTGTCAGGAAAATCTTTAATAAAACCCGTTCTGCTAAATGACAGTACTGACCATTTGTAATATGTCCTCCATCCCGAGCTGAGCATCGTCTTGTTCTTCTTGAGAAAGTGCACTGAAAACCAAAAATGGCATAGCATTACATACATGCAGTACCAGTCATATGAAAGCTGTTCTGCATTTGTACTCATGAACATTATGTAAACCTCTACAACACTTTGTGTTGCAATGAAAATAACTCAACTAAACATTCAAAATCATGATCTAAAATTTGCATGAATTTTTGAAAAAGTAATTCATCCATAGTTACATGACAACAACAAGGGTCTTCACTAACTAATGGGTGACAGCACAGTAGCTACGCCTATCTTTCAGATAAAGTTTATTTTATTGAAAGGGACCTGCAAAAGCAGGGTCATGAGGCTAACAACACAGGGAGCTGAATTAGCAGTATCAGTTCTTTTTATATGTAATCTGCTGTTTACCTACTTCACCCTAGAGGCAATTGCTATAAATGTGACTTTGTCTGCATAAATTCTAGTGTTAAAATGCCTAGGTTAACGGCACTCAAAACCCTGTTTAACTCACTCATCCTAGATTTACACTTGTATGACTTAAACTGATTGGACTGACAGGTGCACAGACACAGGCAGCTGTTCTGGATAGACCATCACAAGAAATTTGTGCTTCAGTTTTGACGATTGAAATTCTTGTCTTGGATAAGTCTTTTACTAATTACAGATATTTACTAATTGCACTTTGTCTGCACATTGCCCCCTTACAGTTTATCAATAACAGCTATAACCAAACCCACTAGAATGTGCTATCTTAGCACTCCAGCTTCTTTTCCAAATATGGGAACTTTTACTACAGAAAAAGCAAGATAGGGTCTTAAACACTTACACTGAAGTTTCCACCTGCAAACTAATGGGTGACAACATGTTAACTAAGTCTATTTTGCATGCACAGTCTATGGCTTCACCTTGCCTATTGCAGAAAAAAAATCTAGGACAGTGTGTAGATAAAAAGAAGTACACAATGATATTTACAGCAATCCCTTTGTACCTTAATATGTTTGTTGTAGCTTTCCTCTCTTGCGGCAGCAGATCTGGATCTCGCAACACCTCTTCTAGTAGACTGATCACCCCCACCTTCAGCTCACTGTTCATTTCAAAGTCCTGATTGAAACAACACATGCATATATATTTATAGGGAAGCTTAGACTTGAAGTTAAGATTAGAGTAGTGGGCACTCACAGAAAGATTCATTTCAGTGGTTTATTGTATATTTACCATCTAATTAAGCTTGCACTCATATATGACAGTGGGAAGGGGAAAGGGTGAGGTTGTACGTGAAGGGAACAGAGGTGATGAGAGGTGTTGGATAGGTATGGTGTTAAGAAGAGAAATACAGGGGAACAAATAGTAACCAGAATTTGCCAAGGAGATGGAAATGACTTTAGTGAGCATGTGCTTTAAGATAGGGAGGAACATGGGGTGAAGCATAAGAATGGAGGAAAGTGAACACAGCTGGACTACATCTTACACAGAAGGTGGAATCTGAAAGGCTGAAAAATGCAAGGACATAGTCTTTGTGGAATATGATGTTTGCAGATGACATTGTGATCTATAGTGAGAGCAGGAAGCAGGTGAAGAGATGCAGGTCTGCGAGACAGATACATCCAGATTTTGTATTTTCAAGACGGAACAAACCCTATTAGCAGTTCACTATGATGTGAACCAGTGGGGGGACTGAAAACCTATCTACACCTTTACCTTAGCAAAAATTTGATGTATTTGTGCCCGATTCCATCCTCCAGTTACTCCAGTTCTCATTCATTACTGACATTATCCTATCATACCTCAAATTCTCATGTCTTGAAATAAATTGCCCCAAGACCATTAATAAAGGCGTCTGTGTTCAAAGATGACAGCACCTCCAGTCGCACAGCTCTCGCTGTAAGATGCCTTTCACACTTAACCTAAGAAGGCCCAAAGCAATCCTCTCTAATCTGAGTAAATGGAGATTCATCTGGAAAGATCATCAGCTGACGTCCCATTGCTGCTTGAAGTCTATATTTAGCTAAAATCCTCCTTATATTGTAGCAGTAGTTGCACCTGGAAACAAAAAGCTTTGCTGAAACTGAGAAAGCATGTGATAATGTCCACTCTGCCATGTTTTTGGATGTACATGTTGAAGCACAAGGTCAGAAATGTGAAGATCCCAAGCCAATAAAACCTGATGCCTTGCCTCCTCTGGTATAGCTGCTCTACTAAGCCTAACCCAACTCTCAAAATGCCATCCATAAGCTTGAAAATAAGCCTACTGAGGTGACTGCTCTTCTTCATATTTCACCTTTCTGCAAACCACTGATCTCATCTGAATATTTCTTCTTCTGAATTACTCTGAACTCTGAAGCCTTGCCTCAAGCCAGGCAAGCTGACCTAGGCTAGATTCAAAGCTGTTTTTAGCTGTCTCCTTCCTAAGCTCCAAATGAACCTAATTAACCATGCAACCCTCCCCCGGATCAATCTAGAAAGAAAATTAAATGATGAAATCCAAAAGTTTGTCCAAATATTAATTTACATCACTGCCTTGACTCCTTTCTAAACACCTTGTCCATACTCGCAGCTAAATCAGCTGTACATGTCCAAGGGCATGTGAGGAATGCTAGTTTGTTTCAGTGGAATTACACTGAGCAGAAGCAGAAGCAACATCTCCAAAGTTATAAGATTTAAAGGACCTCTCAGTATTATAATGTACAAGCTGTCATCCATCTAGATTGTCCATGCTTGTGCAAGAGTGGGTGGCAACATGTCATCCCAGCCCAGATGTTAGTAGATACCATAACACAACATAACAGGTCCCGAAAACTTAAATGGGTCATAGAGAGGACTTACAGTGGATAATATCCTTCTCCTTGTGAGAGGTTTGCTCTTAAATGTTATTTAAACACTCAATGCTCTCTCTACTGGCAAGTTTTCACTGTCCAAATCCAAGTCCTTAACCTTTGATCTCTCCTGCTGAGGTATGGTAGCAAGCATAACTCGTCTGTTACTAATCTGTTGCTTGTTGGTGAACTTAAAGCCTCCTTAAGCACAGAGAGGACCAAATGCTTGAAGCTGCCTCCTCTTCAGAACCAATAGTGACGAGACAATCATCTACATAAAAACCACATAGAAGAGTGACTACAACCTCTAGTCTGAATTGCTGCCTGTTATCCTCTGTGCATTTCTCCAAAACAAAACTTACACAGCTTGGAAATGAGGTGCCTGCAAATCTGTACTGCCATTCTGCATTCTAACTGACCTGGTGTTGATGAACATTAAGGTAGAGTGAACATGGATCAGATTTAAGGAAAAAACGTTGGGTTCTGAGTCAGCATCTTAACATCTGCATGGGAGAGCCACAGGGCCACCAGAGAAATAACAGGTCCAAGTCAGCTGTTGGTACTTTGATCTGACCCGTGCTCACCTCTTTATAGTTGTCAATGCCAGGTATGGTAAACAGGTGAATACAACTACCTTGCTCCTATAATGACGACACAGGAACAACACCAACACAGGGATATCAGATATACAGTGGGGCAAAAAAGTATTTAGTCAGCCACCGATTGTGCAAGTTCCCCCACTTAAAATGATGACAGAGGTCAGTAATTTGCACCAGAGGTACACTTCAACTGTGAGAGACAGAATGTGAAAAAAAAATCCATGAATCCACATGGTAGGATTTGTAAAGAATTTATTCGTAAATAGGGTGGAAAATAAGTATTTGGTCACCTCAAACAAGGAAAATCTCTGGCTCTCACAGACCTGTAACGTCTTCTGTAAGAAGCTTTTCTGTCCCCCACTCGTTACCTGTATGAATGGCACCTGTTTGAACTCATCATCTGTATAAAAGACACCTGTCCACAGCCTCAAACAGTCAGACTCCAAACTCCGCCATGGCCAAGACCAAAGAGCTTTCGAAGGACACCAGGAAAAGTATTGTAGACCTGCACCAGACTGGGAAGAGTGAATCTACAATAGGCAAGCAGCTTGGTGTGAAAAAATCAACTGTGGGAGCAATCATCAGAAAATGGAAGACATACAAGACCACTGATAATCTCCCTCGATCTGGGGCTCCACGCAAGATCTCATCCCGTGGGGTCAAAATGATCATGAGAACGGTGAGCAAAGATCCCAGAACCACACGGGGGGACCTGGTGAATGACCTGCAGAGAGCTGGGACCAAAGTAACTAAAGGTCACCATCAGTAACACACTACAACGGCAGGGAATCAAATCCCGCAGTGCCAGACGTGTTCCGCTGCTGAAGCCAGTGCATGTCCAGGCCCGTCTGAAGTTTGTCCAGAGAGCACATGGATGATACAGCAGAGGATTGGGAGAATGTCATGTGGTCAGATGAAACCAAAGTAGAACTTTTTGGTATAAACTCAACTCGTCGTGTTTGGAGGAAGAAGAATACTGAGTTGCATCCCAAGAACACCATACCTACTGTGAAGCATGGGGGTGGAAACATCATGCTATGGGGCTGTTTTTCTGCCAAGGGGACAGGACGACTGATCCGTGTTAAGGACAGAATGAATGGGGCCATGTATCGTGAGATTTTGAGCCAAAACCTCCTTCCATCAGTGAGAACTTTGAAGATGAAACGAGGCTGGGTCTTCCAACATGACAATGATCCAAAACACACCGCCCGGGCAACAAAGGAGTGGCTCCGTAAAAGCATTTGAAAGTCCTGGATGGATTTTTTTTGCATAGCAGGGTGAAGCCATAGACTGTGCATGCAAAATAGACTTAGTTAACATGTTGTCACCCATTAGTTTGCAGGTGGAAACTTCAGTGTAAGTGTTTAAGACCTCAACCCCATAGAAAATCTGTGGCGGGAGTTGAAAGTCCGTGTTGCTCGGCGACAGCCCCAAAACATCACTGCTCTCGAGAAGATCTGCATGGAGGAATGGGCCAAAATACCAGCTACTGTGTGTGCAAACCTGGTAAAGACCTATAGTAAACGTTTGACCTCTGTTATTGCCAACAAAGATTATGTTACAAAGTATTGAGTTGTATTTTTGTTATTGACCAAATACTTATTTTCCACCCTGATTTACGAATAAATTCTTTACAAATCCTACCATGTGGATTCATGGATTTTTTTTTCACATTCTGTCTCTCACAGTTGAAGTGTACCTCTGGTGCAAATTACTGACCTCTGTCATCATTTTAAGTGGGGGAACTTGCACAATCGGTGGCTGACTAAATACTTTTTTGCCCCACTGTACCTACTAATTAGACACATTATAACTCTAACATGCACTTTTGAAAACTTTACCAATGGTTTTTAATTTTTCTGTGTTCGTTTGTTTTTAAATTTCCCAGCATCTTTTACATCCCATTGGGGTACATTGCCATGATAACATAGACTGCAGGCCTAACTTCCTCTAGAGCAGGTTAGAGTCCAAAAAATAAATGAAATTATGATCCATTAATTCTCTGTCTCACCATTCTTTGAAGATTCCTTAGACCTTACTGGATGGTTAGCATGAGGCTCTAAAGTACATTTCTCAAAAATAAATAAATAAATAAATGAGAACACTTGATCATTACAGTATAACACAAAGCCAACTTCAGGGGTAATAATCTTTCCAGTTATGAAGCATAAGTCAATGTGAATCAATTTCACCCGCTTTGAAAATGATAGTGACTGCAGATGTCCTGGAAATGCAACAACAAAACAAACCCAAAAGTACATGTCACTTTTCAGGCTCCTTTTTATCTGTTAAAGCTGCAATTTGCAGATAAGTGTTAACAATTAAGACCATGTTTTTAGGAAGAAGTAGCAGTTTTACACTGTTTACAATGTTGTTATAGTAAGTTAGATGTGGCAAAGCATCATAAAAAATTAATAAAACTGTCTCGAAATTTACATCAAAACTATAAGGCCAGCAGTAGTAGCGTGTAAAAAGCCACAAACTGAACTGACTTTTGTAGGATGATATTTAAAAAAAATTAAAGGTCATGGCCACATAACACTTAACCTAGGACCAACCAACAGAAGTTTACTTTCCAAGCTAAATATTCAGTTGCAAAAATAGCATCTTATATAATGTAAAATGAAAATTATAATCTTTTCGCTACCCTGGGGAAGATGCTGACCTTTTTCCATGCTTCCTGGGTGGGAGACAAGACATGAAGAGCAAAAAGTACCTCCATGAGGGAAAAAAGTGACGGGAGAAAAGAAACAATCAAAACAAACACAACAACAAACTCTTTCAGGTGAGCTGAGCAATGGTCCAGTTAGCCAGCTCTAGGTTTCTTATAAACTTTCTAGAGCAAATGAGTCATTACTTAGGTCACATTTACTTACATGGCTGACTTTTTTATTGTCAGCTATATACACACAAGGCAGCAGCACAGTATTATTCTTGGTTAGATGCTCAGCATGAAGTTCCTCCTCCCACTTTGGGTTGAAAAGTAGCTTCTACAGACAACATTGTTTTAAAAACTTCTTCATGGAGATGACAAGAGCCATGAAGGCAACATTTATCTTCAGTATAATTGCTACCAATTTCTACTACCTTAGCTTTATAGAGAACACCTAAAGTCAAGCTCTTCATTCTGTTAATGTGGTAAAATCTTTCTGTCGTGATGGGTCCAAAATGCTTGATGACTCAATGGCAACAGATCTACCGTGTCACTTCTCTCTGTAGTGGCAATAAAACGTCTTTATTCAGCAGGTCTCTTCCTCCAAAGAATACCACTTTCACCCCTCACAAATGAAGCAAAAGTGGTTTATTGCACCATGCACTAGGGCTTGCTGTTATATGTTATAGCATACATATATATATATATATATATATATATATATATAAAAACTTCAGCAACTGTAGTTTCAAAAGAAGCAACTGTAGTTTCAAAGAAGACAATCACTAGAGCCCTGGACGAGAGTGAACTATAAGGGTGCAGACGTCTGCAGAAGACACAGCTTCAAGCCAGTACGCGAAGGACAACCTGGAGACCGATTTTGCATACTGGAAGTGCATTCTTAGGTGAGATGAGAAGAAATTATTGCGTTTTTTGCCTATACAGATGCTGCCATGTTTATAGAAAGAAGAGAGAGGTTTCACTCCCATAGTGAAACACACTAGTATTATGCTGTAGGGATGCTTCAGTGCATCTGGAAATGGGAATCTTGTCAGTGTGGAAGAAATCATGAAGACAGAAGGATATGTAAAGATTTTGAATGAAAACTTCCAGCAGTCAGCAGGAAAACTGGGTCTGAGTTGTTGCTTTATCTACCAAATTGCTAACGACCCAAAACATACACTGCTCCTGATAAAGAGCTATCTCCAGAAGATCAAAGGTCCATAACGCCTTTCCCTAAAAATTAGTTTGGCAATTAGCTTAACTTTAATGTGTGTTGGACCATATGTTCTCAACTAGTGTGAAGCATGCAAGAAGTTTTGCAACTATGTTTCCAGCTAATGAAAACACATTTTAAAATACCACATTACTCTTAATTAAAAACAAAAAGGTTTTCATTAGTCACTTACATGCAAGTTTTTGTTATTTAGCTTTTGCTTGTTCTAATGACACCATCAAAGACTACCCACAGCTGCATAAATATTTTTGCATAAATATTAAATATATATGCAAGACAAGAAGACTGCTGTCTGGGGACTCCTGTCTCTACTACCCAGAGTTCTCAACTATACAGCTACAGTGACATTACACAGGAACAACTATTTATACTGAAACAGAAAATCACCAGAGTCCTTAAATAGGTGAATTTATAACTTAACTGGAAGACTTACCTGGGAATGCTTAGAAACCCAGTGGCGCAGCACATTGAGAACTCTGTTAGTAGCAGCTCTGCGGATGATGAATTCTTTGTCACAGGCTTTCTCAGAATTGTTAAAACCTAGAAGGACAAAACAGAGATCATGGCCATTAAAGATGTTATGTCAGGCAACATTTATTATTTTGGTATCAAGAGAATTTTCATGGTCCTTTCAGGGTTTGGCTTTCATTTTAATGTTAAGTTACTAGCACTACTCAACCTACTCATAAATGTGTATATGTATATGTGTGTGTGTGTGTGGTGTGTGTATTTTTTTTTTTAATACATATTTATTTTTGCTTAGCTTTTACTGACAATAAAGCAGAGGGAATGACATGCAGTAAATTTCCCAGGGCAGAGTTGAACCTGCACCTGTCCAGTAGGTAGCCTTATAACATATAAGTGGTCCATTCAACTAAATGAGCTATATCCGCACCAAAACAGCAGAATTATTTACAAAAAATGGAGAAGACAATAAATCATAAAGTGTTGCTAAAGTTTACAAGGTGCAAAGGTTAATACTGGTGCCACTTGTAAGAAATTAATAATAAGCCTTAGGGCGTCTCGGGAGTCCCTAGGGACGTTTTCCCTGGAGGGCCTAACCCGGGGGATGTGGCCATGACCTAGTTAGGGGCTCTGGTGGCTCTTAGATGGTGCTTTCCTTGTGGCTGCGTACAGTCGAGATGGGGGAGGGTCTGTGCTGGCGGATGTTGGTTACTGGCCTGGTAGCCTGGCTGCCCCTGGGTGGGTCCGGGATGGGTGGGGAGGCTTGGGGGCCTGGGGGTGCTCCGCCCCTGGTCTGGGGTGCTGGCTGGGCCTTGGGGGCTTGGGTCCTGGCTGTTGTGTCGCCGGAGCTGTGGGCGGGTGGGTGCAGGGGGCTCAGCCCCAGTGCAGGGGACCTCTGGTGCATCGGCCCAACTAGGGGCTCTCTAACTGGTGGGGAGGCTGTTATATCTTTGCAGGTGGTCTCCTCTCTACAGGAGCTCACTCTGCAGGTGGGGGAGATATATAGGAGAGGTAGAGAATGAACTCAACCTGGGTGTCTATTGTCTTGTGTAGTTTGGGAGATGATTGGATGATGGGGTGGGTGCAGTTTTCTCTGGGGTGGAGTCGGGTGGGCTGCCCCGGACTCTGTGGGGCTGGGCAGTGCTGCTGCTGCAGGGCCCGGTCCGGATGGGCCTGGGCCCCCTTGCCCTGGTGGGTTCCAGAGTGTGGGGGTGCCTACTGGGGTCAGCGAGGGAGCTGACCCCAGTAGGCTGCTTGCCCCTCCCTTTCTTCCCTCCCCATCCTCAGCTGCCTCCCTATTCCCGCTCTACCACACACACACACAGGGCTTGGTGTGCAGGTATGTCACCAGGGTGCAGGGGAGGCACTCCCCCTCTGTCCCCTTCTGGCCGCCTGTGCCTCAATTTTATTCTGCAACCTAGACATCCACATTACTCACACTCTCACTCACACTCTCACATAACACATACATATAGGGCCTTGGGGGTGGGCACGTTTTATAGCATCCAGAGGATGGTCGGTGTACTCCAACCCACCTCTGGCGCTGGTGCCCTACCCTCAATTTTAAATGCATATAGACACTGAGGGTTTTCGGGAGGAGATGTGCTGCTCTCTGATAGGAAGCAGGAACCATGCTCTCCTGTGTTTTAAATGCACTTTAGAACAGCACACAGCAGCACTACATATGAGTGGGCGTAGGGAGGTTTGAGGTCTTCATTCACCCCGGTTCTGTTAGCCGTCAGGGCTGGGGGGCTGGGAGGAGGTGCTGGCCTCAGACTGGGGTCTGGGATGCGGGGCCTCCCTGCTACTGCAGATAAGGAGGTGGTCCGCTTGCCTCCACCCCAGAGAGAAGGGTTACATCTCCTGGGTCTAGGTGCGGCTTGCACCTCTGAGGGCGGGGGTACCTGGACCTGGGATATAGAGTATGTTTGGGGAGTGTGACTGTCTGTGCAGTGTCTATTTGTGTCTGTCTACACGTTGGGTGAGTGCCGAGTATTTGGTTGCGTATATGGGGGTGGCAATGCACGTTTGTGTCCGTGTGTGCCTGTTCGTCTGTGTCTATATGTCAGGTTGGGTCTTAGACTCAACCTCTATGGGTACATCTCAGGCCCTCTAAAGTACGGAGGCCTATCTCCCCTCACCACACTCCCTGCCGGTGGCTGATGCCCTCAGACGTTGGTGTGTTGGTGGTTCTTGTTGACTGGGGCTGGGCGCTCATGTATGTACCGGCTCACTCCTGGTGGCCGACTGGCGGGGCCTGGCACCTGTGGCCCGGCTGGACCCTTTCCGGGGGGTGGGGTGCCCTCGGGCCTCTGGGCCGGAAGCTCGGTCCTCTCTGGCACAGCTGGCTGCCGGCAGAGCCCGCGGGCACGCCACTGCAACCCCCTCTGGCCTCTGCTCCATAGCTGCTGGGTGACCTCTCGTTTGGGGCTCTACTCGGGTCCTCGTACTCTGCGGCCTCTGGATGTCTGGGGCCTGGATCTCCTCCATACCTGCTTCATGCCCTGGGGGACGGGGCTATGGCTCCCCACACTCCCTAGCAGATCGTTACATGGAGAAACCTTTGGAATACAAGCATGCTGATCCACACAGGTGTGCACACAGGTGTACACACGGGTGTTCACAGATGCGGACTACACCTTTCTTGGCTGCTGCCTCAAAGCACATTGTGCGCTGTCTATCTTGCGTGCTGCACAATAGCGTTTAATATTTAGTATTAAACTGTTATCTACTGCTAGCTAGTTTATTGTGATGGTGCTGTATTTATTATGTTGCTCTTTTTTGTTTGTTTTCGTTTCTGTTTTTTTTTTCCTCCATACAGGTGATCCAGGTGTTTTGTTTGTTTTTCTTTCTTTCTTTCTTCCCCCCTTTCTCACCGTCTCTTCTCCCCTCTGTTTTTCTTTCTCTCCCTCTCTTTCTTTCATCCAGTCCTAACCCCCAGTCATGTCTGTCCCGTTTGTAGGAACAGAAAATAAAATAAATTCATAATTATAATAAAGGTCAATAAAATGGACCAATATGGCAAGGCCATGATGATCCACTTGGTAAAATAAATCCGCTTGGCATCTTTCTTGGCCTTAAGACAACAATTCTGATGGCTAAAGATCCAAACGGGACAACAAAAAAAGAAAAAAAGAAATTAATAATAAGCCACTAAAACAACAACAACATTTCCAGTTATATATTTTTTTTCTTGGACTCTAATAGAGTAGCTTTGCATGATTCATTTATTGATGCATATTTGTCTTATACTGGGCCTTGGTGAAGCTCCTCAACTTTCTGTGGGCCATTGCTGACACTGTCATCTTTATTGCTCAAGTAGTACAAAAAGCAAACAAACAAACAAGAAAACACCCACAAATATTTCAACAAACAACAAACAAATCCTCCCTAACAAAAAGTAACGGGCTAAATTGCATTATTTTTCTTCATGTCAATATACAGGCCATGAGCAGAGGTGATGTGGGCCATGAGTTTGAGACCCTTGGTCTAAAGGAAACAGTTTATTTCGATTTTCTGCCTCCAAAAAATTAGGTTTTGAAAACTAGGTAGCCACATCAGTGTCTGACTTCACAAATGCACTTCTGGAAAAATCGTCAAAAATCCCCATAAACACTCTCTTTAACCTTGTGGGAAGCCATCCCAGAAACAATCATATTTATCTCATAATTTGGAACCCTGGGAATGGAATATGAGCATTCACCAGTGTAACAGTATATAAATGTCAAAAAACAAACAAAGGCATAGTACTATTAAAAATGGAAGAGTATTAGAACTTTGAGACTTTTACAATCAAATACATCATCACAACAAGGCGACTGCACATACATTTTAACTAATAAAAGTTTGTAAATATAGGCTTTTAGCTACTGTTTTTAAAATCCTGATGGAGTCCCGAGACAAATAAATAGGGTCAACAATTTCAATATCCTCTGAATCAAAGTTTTTTTTTTACCTTCTGTATAACATTCTTGAATACCAGAGTAGAAGCTGTGAATTTCTAAGCACTAACATTTTTGCAGCAGATGATTTGAGCCCATCATTACGTCTAGCAACCTCTTAATATTAATTTAAATGACACCAAAGCAACAGTTCCCTTCCTCTGGTGTGCATCTTTGGATCTTGATGAGTTGACATGCTCACCCTGGGAGCTGCTATGCCCAGCAGCAGCAGTGGCGATTGCAAAAGCTGAAGCTGGTGACATAGAGCAGCGAGAGGTCTCCCCTGATGTAACTGCAAGGAGTCAAAAACATTAAAAAACAGCAAGAAAAAGAGAGCCTGCTCGCTTTACACAGTCTGTTATAAATAATGTGTAAATATGTTTGTGTTATTGGTAATCATCATATTATGAGGACAAATCTGTTTACATAGTCATCTCATGTGAAAGTTGTTTGGCATGGGGACAAAAAAAGAAAGTCACCAAAAATAAAATTATTAAACAAATATAAGTGGTGTTGTGAAGGTACCTGTGGGGTTTCCACAGCTCTTCACACACACAGTACCAGCGTACACCAGCAACCAGTGTAATGAGCAATCAAACCTCAAATCAGAAAAAATTACTATAACTATAAAATTACAATAGAAGTGTAACTGGTAGGGGTTACACCTCTATTGTCAGCCACCTTGACCATTAAAAAGGGTCTGCCTCAGCTGCCATGCTGCCATACTCAGATCCCAACATTTTTGAAACATCTTGCTGCCATAAAATTTAAGATAAGCTAATATTTTTCATGAAATAATGAAATGAATCAGTTTCAACAAATATATTTTCTATGCTGCACCATGAAAAAATAAAACCATGTTTAGTGTACTCATTGTTTTCCATGCCTCTAGAGATTTAGAAAATTGTGTGTGTGTGTGTGTGTGTGTGTGTGTGTGTGTGTGTGTGTGTGTGTGTGTGTGTGTGTGTATTTGGTACCTCCCGATTGACGGTAGCGGAGATGCCTCGGTGTTGAAGGCGAGCGGCAGGGGGATGTGTCACCTGGCTCACTGGTAGCTGGTGACTCAGGAATGAATTTGTCCAGGGATACTGACTCCAGGACAGCTGTTAAGGAATATACTGCATGTAACATCTGAAACAAGTATTGGAGCATTTTTTAATGAGTATACAGTACTGAGGGTAGAAAACAATCATGTGGGAGTGTAAAACACACAGAGAACAAAAGTAACTTAAAATATTATTAGGGACTATCAAGCACATGCTGAAAATAAGCCATCTCCTATCTAAGATTAACAAGTTAACTGAGCCGCCAAGCAATCCCAAGTGACATGGACCAAACACAACCCCAATTACTGTTACACTGGTAACCTAGTCTCTTAACCCTTTGAGATCTATGATGACATAGATTTCAAAGGCCCTAACCCTAACTGTACTCTAAACATACATTTAGGAGAAACTTTTTTGAAAAAAAAAAATGTGTGTACTTTATGATGTGCATCAGAATGATTTCTTTCTTTGCTGCCTGACTCCTAAGACTGGGGAAAACAATGTAAGAAAAACCAAAAATGATATTCTGATTAACAGGGATAATGAGGGGATTAGCAGCTTGAACCTAGTCGTGACAGTACTGAAGTTTGTGTTGTCTCTGATACAAAACGTTTCCTAGTCCCTAAGACCCCCCCCTTCCCCCCTTGTTCTGCTCTGCAGTGTTAGTAATCTTTTCAAGGCAGCATATAAACCTGTTCTCTGCCTGCTGCAGGTTCAGGATAGAATGGTCCTCCAGTTTGCAGTGAAACCCCAGAGCAGAACAAGGACAGTCACGGCCACCTATAATCCAAGACACTGGAACATGGGTCAAGAGACTAGAGGCAGTTAAGTGACATCAAAGACCACCAAAACAAATTGCTGTGTGACCCAGTGTTTTGAGTTTCCTTGTATTTTGATATTCGTTGTTTATGTTTTAGTCTCATTTAGTTAGCTAAAGCTCATTCTATTTTGCTTAGGTTGCCATGTTAGTTCTTTGTTTATTAGGTTCCCCTTGTATCTTCACCCCCTGTGTTTAAGTCTCCCTAACCGTTCATGTGTTTCAGTCTCTGTCTCCCATCTCCTCCTCTTGTTTACACGTTTTCCCCTTGTGACCGATTCCTTCTGTCATTTGTTTTCCCCCCAGTCATCTTGTTCTGTTTGTGCTTATGTCCCTGTGTCATCTCCAGCCCCTTTTTCCCTCTGTATGTACCGTACCGACAGTTAGAAAATTATAATTGTTATTATTTTTAATCTAAAAGGCTCCACAGATAACTAAGCTATGTGTTCAAAAAAGAAAGCAACCTTCAAATGAACACCAGACAGAGTGTTCATGTGAATGATTGAACTTGTGGATTACAAGCTGCTCTTCTGACTGCTATTGGACTTTGGAGAGGGTCAATAGCAAAGTAGAAAGCTCTCTTTATCTCCTTATTGTCATTCTCTTCCTTGTTGTTTGTTAGAGATTTTCTGATCTAATGCTTCAGTGCTGTTTTTATAGTGAGCAGGCTGTCAGCTGTAGCCAGATGGTGATGTAAGAGTACGATTATTCCTGTGTTGGGTAATGGTGACCCATTTATGTCTTTCACTGAGTCTGTTTAGGTGGGCAAGCCTTATCAGGAATAAATGAATGATTAGAGGAGAAAAAGTTCATTAGAGGAGAAAAATGTAAGACTACTTCTGAAACAGATGATACAAATTTTTAAACATACTTGTTTTTAATGTATTATTTTATACTAGTTGACTCTCAGGCATGTGCTTACAAATGTGTTGATATAGGGGTCTCACAGAGTGTGACTCATATGTCTTTGTATTGCAGATACCCACCCCTGCGGAAGCTGCGCCTCAGCTTCCCACAGAAGGCATCAATGCGAGGCAGCTCTCCACTGGCATCCTCCCCTGCAGCTGGACTCAGCTCTGGGGAACTAGGACCACGGCTGAGATCCAGCGGTGCCTTGGTGGAGACAGGGGGTGGTGAGGATACCCCAGAGGCCTGAGGGAGGCTAGGAGACCTTGTGGCGGTGGGTGGAGGGGAGGAAAAGCCAGAGGGCGCTCTGGTAGAGCCAGGTGGAGGAGAGGCGATGGATGGGCTGTGACTAGAGGTTGGGGAGTTGGCTGCAGAAGAGGAACGAGTGGTGGACAGGTCTAGGGCTCCTGTTTTCACACTGATAGGGGAGTTCAGGGAGAGCTTTCGGCAATGCACAGGGGAAGCGGTACGAGAGGGGATGGACAGAGGAGGAGGAGAGGAAAACTTGCGGCACAGCCTTGGCGATTTGTTGTTCAAAGGGTCAGTTCCCCACACGCCCTGGTTGGTTGCAAAGAAGAGCTCCAGGGATCTAAGAGAAAGGAAACTAGCTGATGTGCAGTGCTTGACAAGAACACACTCAAATGATTCATCAGTCCTACTGAGGGTCTTTACTTGGACTGGTCCAGTGCAAGCTGTGTGATCTTCAGACTGTAGTCAGGACAGAGTGACATGATGGACAGACGGTCACATGAATGTTGCTCAATTCTGGGGCAGTGACAGAACAAAAAGAGCATGGAAAGAGGAAGGAATGAGGAGGATGAAAGGAGCAACACAAAATGTGGAAATGGAAAGACGTGCTGCTGGCAGCTATACGTGCTAAACATGAAGGGGGGAAATACATAGAGGATTCATGAATATTTGGATGCCTGTTACAAATGATGACATATACCTTACAGGTATGGAGGTGAACGGCTTCTTATAGATGTCAGCCAGCTTGTCGATGACCACAGTAGCTGTGGTGAAGATCCTGTAAGTGTGGAGGAATGTGTTGAGGAAATCTATGGAGAGGAAGCGCAGGTCTGTCAGACGCTCTAGCAAGCGCTCCACACTGGCGTATCGGATCTGCGGGACTTTGCAGGAGTTGAGCGTTTTTGAGAAGCAAATGTCAACATCGTCTTTATGCAGTCGAGCATCAGACCTTCAGAAAGAAAATACCACAGTCAGGTTAAATCAGAATGTTTAGGGGGGTTAATCAGCCATAGTGTTGTGCAGCCCTGGTGTTCTCCCATATGCAGCTGCACAGACTGACTTTTTCCACCAGAAAAACACCCAGCATGTAGCAGCAGCTTAAACCATATATTATCTTTCATAGGATCTGTAGTTGATAATATATGTGCTGCTTTTGAGAGATGACAAGCTGTTCTGTTTGTTCAGAAGTTGGAAGCGAAAGAAAACTTAGATGTGCCTAAAGACCCCATAACAACTGCCAAGACACTAGTGAGTAATTTAGCCAAGTTGGGAATTGTAGTTTTGAAGAAGACTATCTCTAGAACCCTGCACAGGAAGGGAGAGGAGAGACCATCAAATCTGTATCTGCTTGGCAGATTTGTCAAAGAAGAATAAGCTGGGATTGCTCAGGAGACGTGCGAGACTTCTTGAAAACTACAACAGATGCTGCAGGCTGTTCTCCAGCATTTCTGGTAAAATTTCCATTCACTGAATATTAAAACAGTTAGATGATGAAAACAAAACGGAACACTAAAACATATATTTTAACGAATAACTTTTTTATTAATGTCCATACCTAATATTCATCTTAACCTGGGTTGTTAGGTCATGTCACCCACGGCACTGACAATGACCATGGATGGTATAACAGAGGACTAAGTCAGGCACATAGGATTTTATGTAGAACAGTCGAAGGGAGTCATACTTAGTGCTATCAGGAGGTGAGGTGAAGGAAGGCCAGACATTACAGCAGAGGTGAAAGTTCAGAGGAAGACATGCCAGATTTTGAGGACAGTGAGCTTGGGCAAAATGAAAACCTCCTAGGTTGATATGGACAAGGACAGCTCTGGAAGATAAGAGTGTGTGTGAATTGGAATTAACAAGTTCTTATTTCCCTTTCTAAACATGTCTAAAACCTTCAGAGCCTGCAACCTGGGTGCCTCAAAAACTGGTCTTCTCCAGAGTGTTTCACCTTCCAGTTCTAATGTCTGGCCTTCCTCCACAACATCTCTTGACAGCTCTGGGTCTGGGTCTCCTACCACAATTTCACCCTTTCCTCTATTACCCTATTTCTGAAATCCTACCAAAACAAAGTTTAGGCTCTCAAATTGAAGAAACAATCAGATTTTTAGCAATAGAATCACAATATCTGAAAATGATGATCACTTAAAAAAAACAAAACTGCAATTCCTGTTATTGTTAAAACAGAGTTCATATGCGTTGGGTACCCCAACCCCCACAAATGTGGCATCAATAGAAAGCCCAGGATGTCCTCTTGAGGATGTTAAGAATATACTACATGATGACGTGAAAGTCTGGTTCATTCCATATTCTATTTCAATTGTCATTGCAAATCTTAAGAAATCAGGAATGGTTCAAAACTTTAGCACAGTACTGTTAATTTAAAGATACAACATCTCACTGCTAGATTCTGTAAGATTGCAAACTGCAGTCAACAAAGTATAGGCTTTCCCCCCCCCTATAAAACTGGCTCTGGTAAATCTTTGTGAAAGAAGTCCAATATGAGTCAATGACTCAGTTAAGTTCACTTCCATTCAGTGGTAGCAATACTGAGGTGAATTGTTGAGCATATACTGAACTTTTCTATCGGACAAGTGCTTCTGTTTTTGCTGTTAGCCAGCGTTAGTGAAACTTTCTTTGAAGTAGTTCTAACATTGTTAAACTCCCAAAATAAATTCAAAGTTGTACAACCAATTCTTCTTTTTATGACCATGACAAATATATAAACTTCCAACTACGACTGTAGTTATTTATACTGCACTTTTTCACTCATTTTTTCTTACTTGATCATGTGTGGCACAGAAACTTTGGAGTTTTCCTCAAACACGCTTGTCATCAGGCCGTTGCATCGGATATTATCAATGCACTAAAACACAAAGCAGAAAAAAAGCATGAAACCTTGCCACAGGTAGGTAAATTCAATTCCATCTTTGTACCATTGACTTCTTACCTGGCTGATATCACTTGTCCAGGCAGCTTTCTCCTGGCGGGAAGGAGCCAGGAGAACAATGGAGAAGGACTGACCATCAGGAGGCTCAACCACAATTTTAAACTCCAGATGGTTAAATCCTTGACTTGCTGCATTGTCGGAAATAACAAACAACAAACCAAAACATTAGTCGCACCTCAGTTGAGCTATTATGCATGGAAAAAGGAAATAATGACTGAAGAAAGACACTCACAGTCTTCATCAGTGGCATCCAGTTCCTCAATCAGAGTACACTCGATCAGGGACAACATTCCTCCCTGCTGTTATTGGAAGAAAAAACACAGCTTAAGTTAGTTATGTCACTTTTTATTTAGAAGAATATTTCCCAAAGGAAGAGGGAAAAGCAAAGTAAAAATTCAAAATAATCGTTAATTTTATAATTTGAACATTTCTAAATAAAAAATTAGGAAGCAGCTGATTGCTGTTTTTAACATTTCCTCAAATATTCCTCAAATATCCTTGAAAGGATAAAGAGCTGGTCCAGTGTACTGCATCCAGGACAAAAACTGGATTGTTCCTCCTGTATTCAAAGTTCAACTAATCTACATCCTCTCTTCTCTAGTACGGTGGCATAGACCTTCCAAGAGAGGCTGAGTAGTGTGAACCCCTATAGTTGGAGCAGATCCTCTGGTCTCCCTTCTTAAAGAGAGGAACCACCACCCCAGTCTGCCAAATCAGAGACGTTGCCCCATAGCTCCAGACAGTATTTCCAGAACCCCACTGGTTTGGCCAAAGTCACCATGGCAGGGACCAACCACCTTGCAGCCACAGCTCCTTGCTACAGCCTCAGCAATGGAGGTGCTGAACAATGTCCATTTGGACTCAATGTCCCCAGCCTCCCTTGGAATGCTTTTGAAGTTCAGCAGGAGGTGGGAGTTATAGATCTCACAGATCAGGGCCTCTGCCAGGCATTCCCAACACACCCTCACAATATGTTTGGGTGTGCCAGGTCTGTCCAGCATCCTCCCCCATCACCTGATCAAACTCACCACCACAGCTCCTCTCTTCACCCAAGTGTCCAGAACATGCAGCTGCAAATCTGATGATGCAATTACCATATTAATCATCAACCTGCGAACTAACATGTCCTGGTACAATGTGCACTTAGAGACATCCTTGTGTTCTCTGCAAATAACAGAGAAGGCGATCGTGGCTCAAGATTTGGGAGTTTGCCTTGTAATCGGAAGGTTGCCGGTTCGAGCCCCGACTTGGACAGTGTAAAGCACTTTCCTCAGGGACTAGTAAAGCGCTATATAAATACCGACCATTTACTAGAAGTCTGTGGCTTGGATCATATAGATATGGTTTGTATCAGACAGATAGCAAACTGAGGGGCTACACCAAAGCCTGGTGTGAGTTAAAAATATTTTGAAGTATGAATCATGGAAGATTCCAATAATAAAAATGTTGAGATGGGAATTAGCATATGTTTCCTTTAATATTTTTCCTTATTATCTTAAATCACAAGACCGTTATCTTTTGTGTGTGTGATGCAAAAACAGAGCAAGGAAGGCATTCAAGTTTTCTGCTTTGATGGGAAATAATATTCATGAACATGCTAACCACAATGGAACCAAGATGGCTCCTTTTAGTTTTCATTTTGATTTTGCTCATTTTAACCTTGAAAAATGGTATAATTGTTGAACCTTTAAAGACCACCAGTTGGCTTTTACTATTGTTTTATTTTTGATATTATGCTTAGTGGTTTAAAACTTTTAATACATCAGTGCTGGTTAGGTCTACCTTAGCAAAGAGTTTTCAAACCAAAGGGCACTGCCCACTGAATAAATAAAATGCAAAGTTGTGAACAGGTGAAGCTGACCTTGAGCAAGTGAAGCTTCCCTCCCGATGTTCGGGTACAGATGAGGAAGTGTTTGGTAAAGAGAAAACATTGTCTCTCTCCTTCCTTCCTCAGTGAGAGAGAGCCCAGGCGCACCTTACTGAGAACACCCCGTTCACTGCTGGATGGTAAATGGATGAGAGAACCTGCCCACAAACAATGAGAATGAGTAAACTGATTAAGAACTGGAATAACATGACTTGGTAAAGCATGAAATACAAAGACAGAAGCTCACCTTGTCTGATGAAAGTTTGACTTGTGTCTAAAAGGATGTCACAGCCCTCTACAATCATCCTTTCAATGGCCAAATTCTTCCTGATGTTCTCTGTGTCGCTGACTTCATCATGTATCATCCTGCCAAAACAAACAATGATGGATGGACAATGGATGTTCTGGTCTGCTAGTCATGCTCTTTAAAAATATTTTCCTTCATGGCTAATGTTAGTGTGCCTAGGTCTAGTTTTTATTTTGTTTGTTTATATTTCTAGCGCCCTAAGTTCTTTAGTATCTCCTGATTTCCAGTCTTAGGTTCTGTTTAATATGCCTTTCCTTTATTCAGTGTTATGCCTTTTTCATGTCTCTATCTCAGTGTCAGGTCTGCATTGCCATTCTACGTCCCATGTTAATATTTTCAGTTTTGCTTCCCCTTGGTCTCGTCATGTTCGATTACTCCCAGCTGTGCTCTCCTCCTGTGTCTAATTTCCCTCGTTATCACTCTCTGTATTTAAGCCCTCTGTTTTCCTTGGTCTATCTATGATTGCCATCATTCTCTGCCGTGTGTTGTGTCTGCCAGCCTGGCTGCTAGTTATTTGTTTTCTCAGTTTAGTCAGTTTTTTTGTTTTTTTTTGCTGTGCCTCCACGTTTGCCTCCAGAAATCTGCATTTTGGGTCCTCTACTCCTGCCTGCTGCAAACAGACCATTACACCTAAAGCCTGTTGAAAGCTGACTATAACGAAGAGTAGACATCAACCTAATTCGATCCACGAACTCAGGTTTGCCTACAGCAATTTCATAGAAGTCCAAAGATTACACAGCCAGACATTCATCAAAGCTTAACATATAAACCTCCAAAATTTAAAATGATTCTAATTGTACTGGTTTCTAATCCAAATTGTTTTTAAAGCTTGTTTGTAGCTTGACATTGTTGATTTGGTTGCCTGGCTCAAGTATTACTCCCAAACTTTTAAATTAGTTTATTTCTGATCTATAAGTATTGAATAATTATTCCATAGTTTACTTACGAGGAACACACTGATACAGTTTTTTGGGTTTGTTTTTTTTCCTAGAAGGTTTTGCTGTTATATTACTGACTACATCATCAGCATGCACTTCACACGCTGCTTCTTTGGAGGTGTCTGATAAATCAGAAATATATGGGTTTCTCTCACAAAATTTAAACCTGCAGATTCCCATTTTGCAGTTTTTAAAGAATAATTGCAAACCATTACCTTTTAATACACTGCTCTCAGGATTAAAACAATGTCTTAAAATAGCATTCTTGTTCTGAGAAATGTAACTTTTTAAAGCCACAACATGACTCACAGTACTCCTACTACTTAAACAACATCTAGAGATTGCTTAACTTCTGTTAGATGGCGTGTTGCCATTTCACTTAAGTAGCTTGGTAGATACTTGTCTTCCTTTTCATTTTCCACCTAATTATTGCCAGCATAAAATCTTTACCGTTCTCCTTTCAATAGCCACTTTGTTTCTAATATGAAATCTAATATGGGGTAATTGTTTCTATATAATGAAGAGTTTAAGAACTTTCACTACTTTTCAAACACTGTTGTTGTTGTTTTTTTTCTTTTCTTTTTTTGCACGCTCTAGTCTAGTGCACTGTCATTTTTCATGTACTACATCAGTACTGAGGCTATTGAGGCAGTTATGTGCTGCAGGCGAAGCCAATTTTAAGCAGAACACTGGTAACTCATGTTTACGTGGTTCATATAAACCTCAGAAACCAAATAACTGATTCAAGCTAACCATATTTTTATTATTATTCAACAACAGTCTGAGTATTTAATCAATACAATCATTTTCTTAAACTGTATTCATAAGCACACACTGACTTTGACAGTTCCTCCAGTTTGGATTTGGCAAACTCAAGACTCTTGCGCTCCACATGCTCATGAGGTGTGTGCGCCAGCAGCTCGTGGAGAGTTCTGATGTAACGGGGAATCTAAAATGTAAAAAAACCCATGTGACTATTTGTGAAATACACACAGCACTTCTGTAGGAATTTATTGTAAATGGTTAAACCATGAAATCCCATCCAAGCTATTCCAAAAAAGTTCCGAATGGGAAATTAACTTTTTAAATAAGAGACTGTGTGAAAGATCCACCACAGACCAAACCATGTACTCATGCTTTTCAGCATCTATTATTAATACGGTTGCATTACACTTCAGACGGCTGCAGCTTTGCAGCCACACACAACAACACCAACACTGCAGGACCTAGTTCAGCCTTTAAGCCGACGAGGCGTGATTGCAGATGCCGCTCAGGTGTCTGCCTCCCCTGCAGTGGCACTGCAGACCACGCCCCACCACAGACTGAAACGAAGATATTAGAGATCTTTGTGAATGATGAAAAAACAAAGTTATTTAGATTAATGCAAATAAATTTACTATCCTGCCATTTGAGCTCATACACAGTATATGAGGGCAAATATATCAGGTCAAGGCATTTAAAAGTAACCATGTTATATGACTAAATATTATACTTTGACTATATAACGCTGTCTTTATTTATTGTATCATCAGTGTTTGTTGCAAATTATTAAGCCTTACAGTTAAGCATATTACATAGTTTTTATAACAGCAGCTAATGGATTACATTGTTTAATGTAAAAAGTACCTGAAGCATTGGATAAGTGAGGAATGTCTCCAGCATCCGACCCTCGCAGGCTGCGTTGGATTCATACTGTTTCAGCAGCTTGTCAAAGTCTCTGTTCTGTTTACAGTTTGCCAGCACCTGAAGACTGTACTGGTGGTTACGCACAAACTCCTGGTAAATGTTCAGCATCGGCAGTAGAATGTCAAACAGGTCCGCTGGGTGTCAAAAAGAAGTTTAAAAGACAACATCATTGAAGGTTTTCTAGATTTTATTAAGCTTAAAAAAAAGATCACATGTAAAAATCCAAGATGTATATTTAACCTCCTAGGACCTGGCGTCCACATGTGGTGGACATCACATTTTGGGTTGTCTAGACCCAAATACTAAATTTTGCTCTACAAGGGCATGATATCCACTTACGAGGACGTTATACTGCCACTGTTCTATCGAAATTTAAAACAAATGCCCTCAATTGTGGATCTCATTTTTCTCAGAAACAAAAATCGGGTAGAAAAAAAAATCTTCTAATTCTTTGTTTTTACATTCATCATGTCCCAATATGTCCAAATATCAAAGAGAACTTAAAATGCATGCCATTGAAGAGTTCAGGTCTTAGGAGGTTAAATCTCAAACCTGCATACTACACAATGTATTATCAAAAGGTTATTCTACTATAAAAAGCAAAAAAACAAAAAAGTGATTTATAATAATGGGCCACTTTATTTGTGGCCCACACATATCTACTTCATACAAATCACAATGCAGCAATTCAGTGCATTTATCAACGTGACCATGGTCAAGAAGACCTGCTAAATTCAAACAATGTATTGAATAAGCAAGATTTAAGTGACTTGATGCGTGGTATGATTATTGTCTGCAAACAGGCTGCTTTGAGTATTTCACACACTGCTGATGCACTGATATTGTTCTACATAACAATGTCTAGGGTTCATGGAAAATGGCCAGTGGAGAACATATCTGGCGTGATGCAAAAATATCTTGTTGATGACTTCAGAATAGAATGGCCAGACAGCTTCAAACTGATAGTAAGGCAACAGTAACTCACCTTGTTACAAACAAGGTATTTCTGAAATCTGAACACACAACACATCAAACCTTGAAGCAGATGATCTACAGCAGCAGAAAACCATACTGGGTGTTAGTCTTGTCAGTGAAGAACAAGAAAGTGAGCCCACAATTCACACAGGCCATCTGTCCTGCCATCTATCATGTGCCATGTTCAGGCTGATGATGGTGGTGTTCAGGATGGTTTCTTGGCACACTGTGGGCTCCTTAGGACCACAGCCTGCTTCAGTACTTTTGGTAACCCTGTTCATCCCATCACATTACATGTTTAGTTCAATGTACTAGAAATGGCCTCCACAATCACCAGATCTCAGTCCAATAGAGCACCTTCGGGATTTGGTGAAAACGGGAAACGTGCAACCAGCTGCATGCTGCTATTGTGTAAATGTGAAAATCTCAGATGAATTCCAGCACTTTGTTGAATCACTGCCATGAAGAATTAAGGAAGTTCTGAAGGCAAGCGTCGGTCCAACCCACAACTAGACAGGCACACCTGATAAAGTAATCAGTTTGGTTGATCTCCCTTTCAAGTTATCTGTTCAAGCATTCCTGCATCAATCCCATGTCTTCTGCTAATTTGCAGATCGATCCCTGTTTGTCCCATTCTGACCAAAACAAAAATCCATTAAACAATCTCATTTTGCATTCACCTAAAAAAAAAAACAACTTTGCAAATAATCCTGCTCCTTTGATATGCTATGAGCAGGCACCTGATGACACATGCTGCACTTTAGCTCATTTGCACCAAAAGCTCTTCCTCAGATGCCTTAGGATGTAATAGTAGAAGTTTGCATTCATTAATGGTGAACAACCCAGTGAATCTAACAAAGAAACCATTAACACGCTCCTGGTGAAAGCTCCTGCTGGCTTCATGTTTCCAAACTTAAAACTTCTATTTGTTTTCTGTCTTGCTGTCAGAAACTCAGTTCTCATCATTAGCCTTGACCATGGTAAATAAAAAATGGACAGATTCTTGTACAGCACTTTCTACTCTACCACTCAAATATATACAACATGTCTAACTCACCCATTAACACCGGCACTTTTTTCCATGCTTTTTCTACCCACGTGCCTTCTATCCAATCAAGATTTCAGACAGCAACTTGGGGTGGCTGTAGCTCAGGAGGTTGAGTAAGTCATCTACTAATTAGGAGGTTGGTGGTTCAATCCCTGACACTGCTGCAGTCTACATGCTAAATATTCCTGGGCAAGATGCCATTCCTAAGTTGCTCTTCAGTGCATCCATTGGACATATGAATGTTTGTGTGAATGTTAGACAAAAAGCACTTGCATTAAAAAAGTGCTTGACTGAATGAGGCAACTTGTTGAGTACTCAGGAAGTGCAGAAAAGAACCAGTTCATTTATCATGTACCACTCTAGTCTACTTCCACAGACCACCCTGTTCTATGCAAGCAGTCAGAAAGCTCCACTGGAAGCTTTGATACACAAGGAGATGAGCTACATGTAAATCAGAGGTGTGTGGGTTTTTTTTTTGTTTTTGTTTTTTTGTCTCTATACATGTAGTAGTAGAACCTTCTGACCACAGCTTATGTTAAAAAAAGTGTAAGCTTGGAAACACTCACCCAGAACTAGAGTAGGCCAGTTGGCAATTCGGGCCTTCAGACCTTGATGGAAGATTTCATGCAGAAACATGATGGTCTCACTTCATAGCGAGAGAGAGAGAGAGAGGAGTGAGTTCAATTCACCAAGAATGAGTTTAGTAGTATAACTATAAGGCCAGGAAGGCCGCAAGAAGGATCTAGGTTTGGTGCGTTACACCTAGACAGTTTATAGAAGCCGTTTGCTAACCAGGCTGGCAAGTGTTAGCTGATGACTTACTACATTCTCATATTTGTTCAGAAATCGATGTGTGACATCAGTATTTTATATCTAGTATATAGTTTATTACAAACTTTATTATAAACTATTACAAACAGCTGAAATACAGGATTTGTGTGAAAAGTTACGCAAAACAAAAAAAGAGAGTTGCACCTGTTGAGGAAGATGCTGCTAACATCATCATGGCGAATGGGAGGTTTCTTGGAACTGGCGGCCATACGGAGCGGCCTAAGGAAGCAATTCACCAGGATGGAAAGCTGGTGCACGTATTCTGTCTCTGCTTCCACCATGTTAAACACAATATGGTTCCTCTTCCTCATGCTCTCAGCGTGAGGGGAACAGATATAGTCCTGGACAATGATTTTCCACTTCCTCCGACACAGCCAGCCACGCATGAAACTCTGCACCTGCATAGCCATTGCACACTAAGTTTCTCTCACAACCTTGTCTCTCTACATTTTAATATGCAGTTACAATTCTTTACCATTTTAATTTTTTTAATATCGGGGTCTTCCTCGTCTTGGTTGTTCTGGTGCGGCTGCATCCTTTCCTTGGCTTTGTTCAATACTGTAATCTGCAACAACACAACAACAGCGTCCATATGAAAAAATGTGCAAAATATAACAAAATATAAAACATTCATGGGAACATTTTAAAAGGTAAAAAAAAGAAAAATCCCAAATAATAGGCCCCAGAATCAGTGGAGTCCTGCTGTGATTTAATTTAGGAATCTGCATGCTTTGATTTTAGAGTGCATGTGGGTGCCTGTGTGTGACAATATGTGCATTTATGTAGCCATGCAGATGCACTCATGCATACTTCTGCTTTGAGCCTCTCAATCTCTGTGTCCTGGTCCTCAAGCTGAGTACGAAGCTGATTGGCTGCAACCTTCTCAGTCTCCATGATCTGGACCAGATGGATGTACTTCTGCATCAGGATGTCACGTTCAATGATGATGCCAGAGTAGCTAAAAGGAGCACAGGAGGACAGTACTGAAGTCGGTTAGTGTGGTAATTTAACATGTACAGAGAGCTTTGTGTGCCAATTTGTTTTAGTTATAGACTTAAACGAATGATCAGACAGTAACCTGATATTATTGACACCTGCAGTAATATGTCATTGTGGGCAAGTAGAGGCATACTTTCTACTGAATGTTACACTAAAAATAGGAAAGACACAGAAAGTGAGACCAGAGAAAAACAGAGGTCGAGTTACGAGATCAAGTCTGTGATGTAACCCGTGCAGCACTACAGCACCAGTGTGACCTAAATGTGAACCGCTGCGAGCAGAAAGAACACACACTTGCACACAAATGCACACAGGCATGTTAAACAAATATGGAACAACATGAGGTAGTAGTGTCAAATCTGCATAAACACACAAAAAGAGCAGAAGGTAGAGTTTGAGTCGCACTTTTCAGCACAGCACATTTTCTCACAAAAAGTGTAGGAACAACAAGATGAAATTGTGGAACATTTTACTACAAGATAATAAGAAGGAAAAGATTTTCATTGTAGTGGAAGGTAGTGAAACAAACAGCATTATCATGTACATACATATTTCATTACAAATAAAGGCCCTGTGTTGTCAGTTTTACCATCAAAATGTACCAGAAGTATCAAGAGTAACTTCTGCAGTATTATGTTACACCTAACATTATAAGAAATGTCTTCATCCCTGAAATGCCTTCATTTGATCCAAAACACAAAACAATAATACCTAGAAAGAAAGACAACATTTCTCTCAGGAACAGAGAGGGGGGGACAGTCCAGTCTCTATTCCTGTTTATTCTGCACACCTCAGAATTCCACTGAATTGTGCTAACAGCACACTTTACTTTTTGAGGTTCTCCGAATCTCACTCGCACTGACTAAGCTGTAAAACTGTGAGGAACCTTGGAGTCATTTTTGACCAGGACATGTCCTTCAACGCACATATTAAACAAATATGTAAGACTGCTTTCTTCCATTTGCACAACATCTCTAAAATTAGAAATATCCTGTCTCAGAGTGACGCTGAAAAACTAGTTCATGCATTTATTACTTCCAGGCTGGACTACTGTAATTCATTATTATCAGGATGTCCAAAAACTCCTGAAAAGCCTTCAGCTAATCCAAAATGCTGCAGCAAGAGTACTGACAGGGACTAGAAAGAGAGAGCATATTTCTCCTGTTTTGGCTTCCCTTCATTGGCTTCCTGTTAAATCCAGAATTGAATTCAAAATCCTGCTCCTCACATACAAGGTCTTAAATAATCAGGCCCCATCTTATCTTAATGACCTTGTAGTACCATATCACCCTATTAGAGCACTTCGCTCTCGCTCTGCAGGCCTACTTGTTGTTCCTAGAGTATTTAAAAGTAGAATGGGAGGGAGAGCCTTCAGTTTTCAGGCCCCTCTTCTGTGGAACCAGCTTCCAGTTTGGATTCGGGAGACAGACACTATCTCTACTTTTAAGATTAGGCTTAAAACTTTCCTTTTTGCTAAAGCATATAGTTAGGGCTGGACCAGGTGACCCTGAATCCTCCCTTAGTTATGCTGCAATAGACGTAGGCTGCCGGGGATTCCCATGATGCATTGAGTTTTTCCTTTCCAGTCACCTTTCTCACTCACTATGTGTTAATAGACCTCTCTGCATTGAATCATATCTTATATTAATCTCTGTCTTCTCCCAACCGGTCGCAGCAGATGGCCGCCCCTCCCTGAGCACTGGTTCTGCCGG